TGGATCCTCCATGACCTGAGCTTCCTCCTCCACCATACCCTGTGCCTCCTCCACTGATGGGTCCTCTACTGCCTGAGCTGGATTCCCATTGTACAGAGATTTTTCCTTTTCCTCCCCCAGAGGTTGACCCTTTCCTTCTGTTCATGCTTGTACCACCCGAGCTCAACCCCCCCTTCCCACTTTTTACGTGTCCACATCCTACTCCAAAGTCTCCTGTTGCACTCGCATTGTGGTCTATGACACCTGCAAGAAATGGAAATTACGTTCACCTTATTTAATTCCTTTTAATTCATAAATTATATAATCACAGTTGATGTAACTACATCTCGATGGCCACCATGTTTCCTACTCTAGTGGTCATAGTGATATATTTGAGAAGGTGTCTCAGAATCACAGAATGGTGGGGTTTGGAAGGGACCTCAGGAGATGATCCAGTCCAACCTCCCCCTGTCAAAGCAGGCTCCCTACACCATGCTTGTGTCAAAAGGATCTTCAGTAGCAGATGTACCTATGGAATGTTTTCTCCTGTGATTTTCTGGCTTTACAACCTTGTCTTTAACATGACCTACATCTTGCTCTCTACGTGTACACTCAGTGCAACCCTTCCTGGAGTACAGGCTTTTCTCTCACTTAGTTGGCCTCCTATTTCCACAAATTTTATGGCTTGATTATTTTTTTTTCCTTCCATTCTCATGTGCACCACATGGACCTTTAGAAGAAGTGAGATGTTTCCCACTTACTACCAATTTGGTTGAAATTAGCCAATCTGTACCAAAGTCAGTAGTATTCATGGACACGCTCACATGAGACTATCATTTGCTTCATTTCCCCTATGGATCTTGGGTGGGACCTAAGATAGGTTGTTCTGCTGGTCGGTGTTAAGTACCACAGACAACAAAATGGTCTTAAAAAGCTCTTAAAAAGCAACGCAAAACTTTGAGGTACTTACAGATTGTGGCTGGTGAACCTTCTTGTATCCTGTGAAGGAAAAAAGACATTGAGGTAAGGCATCAATTAATGTAAATGAGAAGCTCAACATGAGCTGGCAATGCACACTTGCAGCCCAGAAGGCCAACCATATCCTGGGCTGCACCCAGAGCAGCGTGGGCAGCAGGTGGAGGGAGGGGATTCTGCCCCTCTGCTCCGCTCTCCTCAGACCCCACCTGCAGTGCTGCCTCCAGTGCTGGGGCCACCAACAGCACAAGGACATGGAGCTACTGGAGCCAGTGCAGAGGAGGCCACCAGGATGATGTGAGGGCTGGAGCAGCTCTGCTGTGAGGACAGGCTGAGAGAGTTGGGGTTGTTCAGCCTGGAGAAGAGAAGGCTCCAGGGAGACCTTCTAGTGGCCTCCCAGTACCTGAAGGGGCTCCAGGAAGGCTGGGGAGGGACTTTGGCCAAGGGCAGGGAGTGAGAGAACAAGGGGTGATGGCTTGAAAGTGGCAGAGGGGAGATGGAGCTGAGATGTGAGGAAGAAATTGTTTGGTGTGAGGGTGGTGAGACACTGGCCCAGGTTGCCCAGAGAACCTGTGATGCTCCATGCCTGGAAGTGTTGAAGGCCAGTTTGGATGAGGCTTTGAGCAACCTGGTCTAGTGGAAGGTGTCCCTGCTGCTGGCAGGGGGGTTGGGACTGGATGAGCTTTAAGGTCCCTCCAACCCAAACCAGTCTGGGATTCTATGAAAAGTCACTTGCTCTAACAACAAGTCAAAGAAAGAGGTCACTCCTTCCAGGCAGCAATTCATCCTGGAGATCTGAGTGAAAGATCAAATAAAAAGACACACTGCTTTGTACAGGTGCTTCTATCCAGGATGAATAGTTTGTACCTACCTGGTCTCCTCCTCCTCAAGAAGTGATCTATACACAGCAATTTCAATATCCAGGGACAATTTCACATTCAGGAGCTCCTGATAATCACGAAGAAGGTGAGCCAGATTGTCTTTGGCTTGCTGCAGGGCATTTTCCAACTCCTGAAGCTTTTTCTGGCCATCCTTGACCGCAGAGCTCCCACGCTGCTCAGCATCTTTAATGGTTTCTTGGAGGCTGGTGTTCTGCAGAGGGTACAAACAACACGTGCCCATTTCCCTTCTATGGGACTGGGGTTTTCAAACCCTTCTGGCAGTCCTTGGAAATTAAAAGACCTGCCTTAATGAGACAACTCAAAACATACAACATTTGACTGGGTAAATTAACCCAAATTAAATCCCAGTATAGACTGGGATCTCCAAAATCAAATTCTGCTTCATTTTTGAAGAGAAAACATCATCTCCAGGTTTGGCTCCAAAGGACATGCTACGTTACACTGCTCTGATTTCCCAGGATTAAGTAGTTTAGTCATGTTGGAAAATAACAGGTTTTTACCTTTTTCCTTGCAATTTCAATTTCTGGTTGTAGTCTTTGGATCTGCCTGGTAAGTTCCTGGATTTCCTTATAACTGGTCTTCAGTTGCTCACGTTGATTTACCCACACATTCTGAAGATCCTGGTACTGATGGGCAGAGGGAAGAGAAAAGACATCTTTGGTTTCTTTTCCATTGAGCAGACAGATTTGCCTCCCTATCTCGTTGATGTCTACTCACCCTGCCCTGATACATGGCATCTACTTCATCTTTGCTTCTTTGAGCAATCATCTCGTACTCCTGCCTGACTTCTTCGATGATGCCATCCATGTTCAGTTCTCTACGGTTGTCCATGGACACGATGATATTACTATTGACAACTACCGTTTGCAGCTGGGACAGCTCCTGCAAGGAAAACAAGATTTGGGATTTTAACAGCACCTCTCCTATGAGGACAGGCTGAAAGAGTTGGGGCTGTTCAGCCTGGAGAAGAGAAGGCTCTGGGGAGATCTTCTAACGGCCTTCCACTACCTAAAGGGGGCCTACAAGAAAGCTGGGGAAGGACTTTTCATAAGGGCAGTTAATGACAGAACAAGGGGAAATGGGTTTAAGCTGAAAGAGGGGAGGTTTAGATGAGATATTAGGAAGAAGTTTTTCACTGTGAGGGTGGTCAGACACTGGAACAGGTTGCCCAAGGAAGTTGTGGATGCCCCCTCCCTGGAAGTGTTCTCGGCCAGGCTGGATGAGGCTTTGAGCAACCTGGTCTAGTGGAAGGTGTCCCTGCTGCTGGCAGGGGGGTTGGAACTGGATGATCTTTAAGGTCCCTTCCAACCCAAACCATTCTATGATTCTATGTGACCAGTCCAGGTTGTATTATGATGAAAGAAATGGCACCTTCTGGCCAGTTACCCACTGGGACTTCCCCACCTGCATCCCCCAGGTCTTATTATTCCAATACCAGTTTTAAATTTCAAGCGTGTGTCCTGGTTTTGGCTGGGACAGAGTTAATTTTCTTCTTAGCAGCTCCGATAACACTGTGTTTTGGTTTCAGTATGGGTTTTGTTATGAGAAGAAAGTTGATAATATACTGATTTTGTTAATTGTTGCTGGGAAATCGAGGACTTTCCAGCTTTCCATGTTTTACTAGTGAGCAGGTGCAGAAGAAACTTGGTGGGAGCATAGTAAATTAACAGACCCAGACTGGTATGTGGCTATGCCAATGGGATTTTCCATATCATATAATATCATGTTCAGTATCTAAATAAGGATTGGCTGGAAAATGAGTTTCCTGAGGCCTCTCTCTCTTCTGGGATTGCAGTGTTGGGATTTTGTCTGCTCCAGGATCGCTGGCTGGAGACAGGCTGGGCATTGGTCAGTGGGTGGTGAGTAATTGCACTGGGCATCACTCATTGGTATATACCACTATTACTGTTGTTATCATTATTCACAGAATCAGAGAATCACAGAATGTT